GCTCCGGATGTCCCTGGGGGGCTGGGGGTCGCTGGTCAACCCCACCGGGGTGGCGGCCTGCCGGAGGTCGGGGCGCCTGGCTGTGGCACACGACGGCAAGAAAAGGATCCACGTCTTTGGGCCCAGCGGATCCTGCCTGCATCGGTTCGGGGAGCGGGGGGACGCGGGCAACGATATCAAGTACCCGCTTGATGTGACGGTCACGTCGGACGGCCATGTGGTGGTCACCGATGGCGGGGACTGCTCCGTGAAGGCCTTTGATTTTGAGGGAAGGGGGGTCCTGGCTGTCCGGGAAGGTTTCTGTTTGCCCTGGGGCTTGGATGCCACCCCTGAGAGTGAAGTAATCCTGACAGACTCGGAGGCAGGCGCGCTCTACCGCTTGACAGCCGACTTCAGGAAAGGGAAATTAAAGAAGTGTCAAATGATCCGGTCTCAGCTCATCAGCCCAAGAGGGGTTGCAGTCTCCCAGACCTCGGGTGCTATCGTGGTAATAGAGCACCTGAAAGCTCAAGGACTGAACAACAGCAGCACCCGAGTGAAGATATTCAGTGCAGAGATGGATCTCATCGGCCAGATGGATAGCTTCGGTCTGAACCTCGTTTTCCCCTCTAAAATATATACTACGGCTGTGGCCTTTGACAAAGAGGGCCGCATTATAGTAACGGATGTCTGTAGCCAGGCCGTAATATGCTTGGGGAAACCTGAGGAGTTTCCCATCTTTAACCCTCTAATTAGCCACGGGCTTTCTTATCCTGTAGGACTGACTTATATGGCGAACAATTCCCTCGCCATTTTAGACAGCGGTGATCATTCAATAAAAATATATAGCTCCACCTGAATGGGTTTGGATGCTTACTGCTATAGGTTCAAGCTGCTTTTGGCCCTAAAGCAAGCAAAGTTCTGGTGTGAGTAGGGAGGAGGCGTTTTCTGGACTTTAAGTAAAGTTGCCCTCTTTGACCAATATGCTGTGCTTCCTGCAAAACTTACATCAAATCTCTTGCCTATCCGTGGGAGAAGACCTGGCCATTGCAGGCCGTAGTCAACAACGAATCAATCAAACAAATATTTTGGCAGTTTAAAACTATTCCATACCTTGACAACAAAACGTTTTTGGTACTTTTTGACAAGTAATAACGACATTTGGAATGGAGTAATCAAAGACCGGAACCTGGAAGAGAAAGTGATGCATCGTTTGTTTACGTTTCCCAGCACCTAGTTTTCATTATTCTTCGGTAAGCATAGCTACACTCATGAAAGTGACAGAGTGGTTTCTGTTTCCAGGATTTCTGCATGAGAAAGGAGACTGGCTTGATGAAAGAATAGGAGAAATGGAAGCTTCAGTTCAGATCCAGCTAAGATCATTGCGATGGAGGAGCTACCACTGATTAGTGAGTTACGTGAAGTGAATTGGTGCTCAAAGCCTATTTTTTCCATACTGGGGAAACGCATTTCTGGGATCACTCTTCTCTGTACTAGTTTATTCCCACCTTTATTAGAGTTGTACTGGAGCACTTGGTCTTCCTGTATAATGCACAAGTCTGTGTCTTTACCTAGATATAATTTGGTGTGTGGTTACCAGCACGAGCAGCTTTCCCTAAAACCCCGTGAAGTATCTGTGTTTAGACCACAAATACTTGTGCATATATAAAATTGAATTGGCTGTGCTGCTAACACAGCTACGCTTGGGAGGCTTCCAATACTGCCTGCCTCTGTCTTGTCATTAATATGGTACTTTTGCACTCCAAACTCCAAGATTCAACTGAAAATGGAAGTGTTGGTAAGAAGTAATAGAGAAAGGGGGATGTAAACCTCATTTTTTTCCTAACTTCCAAATGAGGTTTTGTTGATTGTGAATACACAGCAGGTTTACTCCAGTTTATATTTCCCTGAAAACAGTTTCACTGTGGAGATGAGTTCTGTTGCCTTATTGCACAGTGGAAATTAAGGTATATCTGAATTATTTCGAGGAGGATTTAACACCCCCACTGGAAGTCACTGCTGCATTTCTAGGCATTTACCTGCTGCTAAAATAATTATTTAGGCAGTTCAGCATTAAAAGGAAGTTAGATATAAATGCAAATGCTATCTGAGGTAGAGGCAAGTAGGTTAAAATGGCATAAAGTTTTTGGGGACATTTATTTAGTCATTGAAATCATGAGTATTAACTAACATAATTTGAAATTCACAGGTGATCTTTCTATCAGTAAATTTTTAGTCCGGCTTTTGGTCTGACTTTAGGGCATTTAATAACGACATGTATTTACCAGTGATTTATCAAATACTTACTTTAAACTGGAGTGGTTTTGGCCCTCTAATTCAGACAATGTATTAATCTGTCTTATGTTAACATTCATATAAACAAAACAAATTATTAAATGCAGCTATTTGTAAAGGTTAATTGAACGGTGACCTGCCAATAAAGTGTGATTTGCTTACTCCTATATTGAATAATTTAGTTAAAACTCCTCATATCTTTTTATCATGGGCTTCTCTGTTACAGTCCAATTTCTCTATTGCGGTTGCCTTGTAGATGGTTTCTTTTTTCATTTGGAGATATCCTGTTAAAGTTGTTGTAGGGTCATTTTTTGCTATTGAAAAATATATGGACCTGCACATTTGGTCTTTTCCAGCCTTCTCTACTGCCAGGCCACACAGTAAGTGCCTTTGGTAGGACCAGAAATACTTCTTGGCTATTCTGTAGTAGGAGGTGTACGGCCCTGAGCAGGAGCCCTCTTGAGGGGTCAGGAAGGAAATTTAGTCAGAGAAGCAGCCCCCTGGATTATATATTCCTTTCTAGGTGCCAAGGAGACGTCTGCCTGAGGGATATAAAACCAATTAGATAACACTTCCTTTGGGGAACTGCTGTGTTTCAAAATGCATGCAATACCATCAATGCTGTATGCATACATAATAGTTACCGCAGTAGCACTTGTGGGACCTGGACCCTTCCTCTGAACCGTGGGCTGTGAGCTTTCATCTCCTGAAACCTTTGTGTGCACCAGGAGCTTGTTTTTGCTACTGAGCTCATGGATGGGCAAATTTCCTAGCGCCTACTGCCATGTAGGCAACTTTCCAGCAGCTGAAATGCTGATTTTTAAGGATTTGACTCATGCTGTTTTAAAATCCACAAAAACTCCCGTTGTTGCCCATTCTGCTTCTATCTCCTTTGGTACATGACTAGAAATCACTTGATGTTTGGCTTTGTAAGCAAAATAAACTTTGTGCCTTTATTCTATCTAGTTTGCTGTATGCCATCTCCTGCAGTCTCTGCTTTACCTACTGCAAGCAAATCTAGATTTTTTCTGTGAATGATGCATCTGTTTTCCTTTTGCTGTAAAGCTTGGTGCTTAGCGTTGTACAACACTGCATCAAAGAAACCATTACGTTCTGTCTTAAATCATTCGATGCAGGTACCTAAATTGAGAAGCCATGAAGAACTGTATAAAACCACGAATTAAAAATTCTGAGTCCTTCAGCGTGTAAGGGAAAATGCAGCAATAAACCTGAAATCTTTCTTTTGTCACACAAGAGAATTTAAGAGATAATGGGAGACAGAGATCCACCAATATGTTGATAACAAACTAAAAAGCCTTTGACATTTTTACTTACTCTTGCCTCTTCCTTTATGCATATATGCACATTTCCCCTATAGCTACTGTAGATACCTGTTGCCTTCAGGACGATACCGTAATGCTATCTGCTTTTCAAAGGTCCAGGGGACGCGTATTGCTTCTGTCTGTCTGCAAATCTGTTGCAATTTAGTCACAGAGTTCAACAGAACAAAAACTTGGGTTTTGAGAGAGGGATGGCAAAGGGTAAGGGGCACCTGTAACTAGGTAGGTGGTACTTTTGGGGTCTGACTGGATATGCTTAAAATGGGGATAGCTAGATGTGGGCTTACCCTTGGAAAAGAGCGCTGGCCATTTCATCTAGAATGTAGTATGGTGACTGTGTCTAGTTGCTTCAGTGATAACTACCATTGCATTTATTAAAAAAAAAAAAGAAACTAAACTTTGCATAACCGTCTGCACCTCATGCTTTAACAATTTGGATTAAAACCAAACAAATGCAGTAGACAGTATTCCCCTAATGTCATCTCTTCAGCCCCTACTATAGATTAGTATGTCTGTTGTGCACACACACACTGCAATTTCTGTTTGGTTTATTTTTAAGCACTGATCTATCGTTGCATATAAATACACCAGGGTATGTTTACAGTGTTTAGGAATAAAGGAGGCAGGGGAGTTTCAGAAATGTGTATTGAAATTGTGTCCTGTAACATACATATTTTTTGTTCTGCTTGTGAACAAAATAATTTTAGATAAAGAATATAATCAATTTTTCAGATTGATGAATAAAAAGGAGAAAGAAATAAAGAAAAAAAAAAAGGTAAAATTTACTTAATTTTGGCCATTGTCCGTTTGACCATCTGTCCGTTCCCTCCAGCCACATTGCTGTGCACATCAGTTTGAAGTGTGGATGTAACACCATCATAGCATTTTTTTAACATGGACTGATTTCAGGTGAAGAGGGGGCCTCCTGTAATGTCCAAACCCCAAACCACTAAGGGTTTTATAGAGCAGGGTCCATCAAAATGATGGCCTTGTATACAGGAGACCTTTCCTTTCTGGAAGGCTTGACAAAGGTAAAAAAGCAGCTTTCTCCCCTGGGACCATGGGTTATGGTGCTGTTGCACCCTGCACAGGAGGAATTTGCCTTCATTTCTTCCTCTTCAGTGTTTGGGTTTTTTCCCTGACTCTTCTCAGAGGCCCATCCTTATAATTTACAAGTCACCTGTGAGTCACAGCTTGCCTCCACAGGAGTATATATATAATATAACTAAAACAAAAATATACAGATTTTGCAAACGGTTCTAAACCTCACACTTCATTCAGACATCTCAGGAGAAGTGACAGACCATTCAGAAAGCAGCAAGCGCCTGTGGCCTAGCCCCTGTGTAGATAGTTTAAATTTACTGTTAATAGGTTTTTCTTCCCTCGTTACATTCAGTTCCCTTATAAGTACACCAGAAGCCTCTATATAGAATCCAGTGTCCCACTCTAGAAAAGTCTGGTGGGAAATGACTTGTAAGAGATTGCCTTTTGTAATCTTCTTGTCAAGTCTATCACGCAATTTCTTGATCAGCCCTGTCCAGTCCCAGCCCCAGCAATTGCTCTTTGAGTTGCCAGCTCATCTGATGCAGCACGCTCTCTTGCTTTGGCCAGCTGTGTCCAAAAGTGCTTCCATCTGAACGGAGGATCTGCCAGGTGGCATGTATAGCCCCCAGCAACAGGGGGGCTTTCTCCTGACCTTGCCTACTTGTTTTAACTTGATGTGAAGGCTGCAGAGCCAGCACGATGGCACAAATGAGGCTCTGGAAACAAAGTAGAGATTACTGTCTGAAGTAGGTATGTACAGAGTTTGAAATTGCCAAAATAATTCAAAATTCATTACATCACTTATGCAGTCACTGGCTGTAAAGAGGAACACGCCAGGCAGGCCTGAAATAAGGTATCGGTCCGCCTCTCCATGCAATGCCCAACCATCGCTGGGCAGAAGGTTGGCTCAGCCCGCTGGAGATGAGCTGAGAACATGTACTGTCTGCTTGATTCCTCTTCAACAGACCCTTTATGCTACTGAATGTGATGGGGAATTATTATCATTACCTGCATATAAACATTCCAAATGTACAAAACATGTAAATCTTTAAACTTGAAATACATTAAACTAAAGACCCACCCAGCATTTTTCCCTTTGCCACGTACTGCTGTGGGTCATACATCGGTCCAGGGGAAGGAATACTTAGCAGTTCTGTGTTTCTCCATTGAAGCGGGCCTC